GCATCTCGGATGAAGTGCCGACAGCGGAATTACCGCACCTCCTGAGGCGCCTACTAAGCACTATACTTACCCCAAGACAGGGCAAGCTGGTGGGAATAGAGGGGTTCTTTCGTGTACCCAAATCCCCAAGAGCACCGGACGACGTACCAATGGACATGGTCATCCAACTAATGAGCGGAAAAGATAAAGCAGCGGTGATGGCGGCAGTCAGAGACCACGCGCCATATAAATTTGAGGACATGTCTCTCACCTTCTTCCCGGACCTATCAGGGAGTACGCTAGCTTGGAGAAGATCGCTCCGACCCTTCACATCACTCCTCCGACAGAAGCAGATTCCTTACCAATGGCGGCAATCCCACACCTTACTGATCCAGCACGGGGGAAACAAGCTCCAGATCAGAGATCTAGAAGAGGCAAAGGCCACACTACCCACCCTCAACCTACCTCTAGACGCCCTGTCATCTACCGGAGCGGAGGCGGCAGGCCGCACGCCACACCAATGGAACCCGGACACAGTGATCCCGTTCTCCCCCCGACGGCAGAACAAGGGAGGAACTGCAGCGGCCATCACCTGAGGACATTGAATAGATGGACAGCCAGCTAATACCACGTCCTTAGGCTCGGCCTAGGGCACCAGTTATATATTTATATCGTTTTACACTGTTTAAACTGCTAATTTTTCTGTTGATTTTTCCGCTCCCTGCTATACATATCTTGGCCACATGTTCCAACCTAACCCTACTGACATGCACACAAGAGAGGGCTCCCCCACAAACAGCCCACCTGAAGCCCGACAGCTCCCCTTGAGCCACTTACACTACCCCCCACACACACCTCCTAAGACCGTAGTACCTATAATACAGCTATGACAACTACCGGAGGCAGCCAGCAACGAACCTCTAACACACTCCGGCACACACACTAGCTGGGACGCACCTCAGAACGCAGAGCACCACCACTGTAACCCAGTTAGATTTAGGCCGCAACACACCAGAGATGCATAAGAGTGCCTGGAGCTGGAGGGCCAACCACATACCTACCAACTCACATAGTCTGTGTCACACTATACCCCACCTGAACGACAACTCTTAAAAATTAAAAAATGTGACATGTAAATGCTTGCCATGATATTGATGTTCCTTGACTGCATTACTATAGTTTGGTATAGCTATCGTGGCGTACCGAACTTGTATGTTAACATGTGCACAACATAAATAAAGAATTAAAAAAAAAAAAAACACAACAAACTTCCAATGGTATAGTATTTACTGAGAGAATGAGCGAAAAAAAGCAAAATGGAGGATAATACACTCACATTTGTTGGAGCTTTGGACTAGCTCATTTTAATATCCACTTATTTTATATTTTTCATTTTATTTATTTAGCGCAGCCCTTCACCCCTTCTTTTTTTTTTCTATGGCAATGTTTTGCCAGATTTTCTCAGCTGTCGTCTTCTGGACAAATTCGAATGACAGCTGAATCCAGTGATTTTCAAAGAGATATAGGGAAGATCAGATATTGACCTGATGGCCACAGCTTTAAATCACCAAGTTCCAACATTCTTATCCAGTCTATTTCACTCTCTAGCTTTGGGCATGGATGCTCTTGCTTGCAAGTGAATATCCACTAGGTTATATATTCATATTCAATTCCCATGCTTTGGCATGTCTTGAGGAAAATCACAGAGAAGGCGGAAGTCATAGCCATCATTTGACCCAGGTGCACATGGTTCCCTCTTCTGCACAAATTGTCAACTGTCCCTCCATAGAGATTACCATGAATGAGAGATCTGCTGGTTCAGGGTCTACTCCTGCACCAGGACCTGGAAGCTTTAGCAGCGCAAGGTCTTTCTTCTGTTGTTATTTCTATGCATCTACACTCAAGGCGTCCCTCTACTAACATGACCAATTGTAGAATTTGGTCTGTCTTTTCTGATTGGTGCGCTATCCATCAGGTTGAAGTCACTGCACCTTTGGTTGCAAAAAGTTTGGAATTTTTTAAATCTTTTTTTTTTTTTTTATTCTTTATTTTTCATAGAAAAAGGAAGTGCATATGTGTGCCAATGACTGGGCTTACGCAGAAGCCGCTAGAGTGGTGCATATATGAATGATAATGTGTAGGCTTACGCAGAAGCCACAAGAGAAGTGCATACATGTGTGACAATGCATAGGCTTATGCAGAAGCCGCGAACGAAGTGCATACTAATGCCAGTACATTGGCTTATGTAGAAGCCGCATTGCGTTTTTATATGGTTCAATTACACATTGGTGAGGATGATTATGTCAAGGCAAGAGTTACGATCACTGTCGCCGCTGGTCTCATCGGCGGTTAATTTGTCATCTCTTGGTGTGCTGAGACAACTCTGCATGGTTTGTCAGTGAGGTCTTGCCTTGACTGCCTATGTCACTTCAATTAGTATGGTTTTGTACGGTTGTTAACTAAACTGAACATATCATAACAGGTCATAACAGGTAATCTAGAATCTAGTATTAAACAGAAATATTGTATTTAGTGATTCGGTGAATTGGTGCTTCTGTTTTCACAGCTCGGACGAGGGGAGTCGTGTGTCCCTTTGTCGTTAGTCTTACGTGTGTGTTCGGTTCCCCTGTCCACTCTCCGTGTTTTCCTGATATTGTTCCCATAGATCCCATATTTTGCTAAATTATTTGGTGGTATGCCTGACCAGGGAAGTTAATCTGTCCATAAGATAATTATTTTATCTTCGCCACTACCAGTGCTACCGGGGGCATTTCTGGACATAGCCATTTCTGTGCTGGTGCTCTGCGGGCGGCTAAGTATATCATATTTAACAGTTGTTGCTCTGGGTGTGGAAGGCCATCTCTTGGCCTTGATAGGAGGCAGGCCCAGGGGTCTAGTTTTAGTGGTCTCTGCAATATGTTAGTGCTTAATTTGATAATTTGGACCCAGTAGGTCTGTACCAAGGGGCACTTCCACCACATGTGCACATAGGTGCCTTGTTCCCCGCAGCCGTGCCAGCACATATCTGTCGGGGTGATCCGCACATATCTGTAGGTGTTCGTACTGTGCTGTAAGTTTGACCCCTAGATAGGGTATATTGGAAATCTGTTTTTTTGATAAGAGCCTTCTCCTCTCTTCTCTCCAATTCCAAATATCAGCCATTTTAGCAATGTCAGTCTTTAATGGTCCTTGAATCCTTTTGTCCCTAGATTTCTGAAGGCAGTCAAAAACAGATGCTACCTATCGGAGTTGTTAATCCTTAATGGGACTTTCCTCTGGTCCTTAGGGCCTTGTTTAAGTATCAGTTTGAAGCACTGCAGGACACATCTCTTTGGTTACTCTCTAAAATGCTTGTTTTTGGTGGCTGTTCCTTCCGGCAGACCTTATCTCAGGAGCCCTTTGTTTATTTTGTCGCGGAGAGTGGTGACAGAGTGCTTGAATTTCATCATAAGGTCAATTTCATATTCATGAGGAATTGGTTCTTCCTACTACCTTTCGTCTCCTACTCAGGAGGAACAGTGCTGCCATTCTTTAGATGTTACAAATTGTTTCTCAATTTACTTAAAAGGTCTAAGGACTGGAAAAAGTTTACTCATTTTCTTTTTTTTATCTTTAGTTTGTGTTTTTTCCATTTCCAATGTTTTCAGTGTTTTAGTACATCCACCTACGACCTTGAAGTTTACTAACTTTTTTCCCTTCCTTCTGGACCTCACAAGGATCAATCAAGCTGCCTCAATTGTCACAATTTGTTGGTGGAATGTTAAGGTGATATCCAAAGTCTTTGTGGTCCAGGATCTAAACACCACTTTAGGGGATTTATCCTCATTCTACTAGTGATGTGTTGACCTTTTGGGGAGCTGTCACTAATAAATCTGGTCTTTTGCAAATTTTATTTTATTTTATTACTGTCAATTTTATTTTATTACTGTCATTTTTTAAGTGCCAACATATTCTGCAGTGCTGTACAATTGGGGGAGGATGTACAATATTTACAGACAAATGCAAAAGGTAAAGAGGGCCCTGCCCATCAGCTGAGATTTAAGATCTTTTATACAAAGTGCTTAGTTAGATAGCCCATGAGCTTACAATCTAAAGCAGTGTTCCCCAACCCAGTCATTGTGGACCAACAACAGACCAGGATTTATGTATTTCTCTGTTTTATTCCAATTGAGATTCTGACAAAACCTGACCTGTTGGTGGTCCATGAGGACTGGGTTGGGGAACACTGATCTAAAGGACATAATTGGCATTTGAGACAAGAGGGTGTGTGAAGTGAGGCCTTAGGAACAGAGATGGATAAAAAAAAATAATTTGAAAGTATATATGGCTAAGAGGGGTAGAGGCTGGACAGAGAGTCAGTTGGTATTTTCACTTCCTCTCCACATCAGCCAAGCTAACCCTTTAGTGATGCTGCCATGGTTTTATCCAGGAAAACAAATTAACGGTAAGTATGAAAACAATATTATCTTTTTTCAGACGTACTTACTGTTAATTTCCTGGCAGAGCATTCTGATTCCTGTGTTCTCTATAGCCGTGTCAGCTACAAAGATTGCTGGCATATTCATGCCACCAGTTGAGTCATGCTGGGACTCCGCAACTGTAGTCATTGGAGAAGCTGGTCTCCTGCTTAATGGTGCAGACTAGCTATTAATTGCTATTAACAGAAATAGATAATAAATATAATTTCTCTTTTTTTGTTATTTATTTTTGTTACAACGCTTTGTTTTCAGACTTCTTCAAATAACGTACTTACTGTTAATTTCCTGGCAGAGCATCCTGATTCTTGTGTTCTCTATAGCCGTGTCAGCTACAAAGATTGCTGGCAAGATTGCATACCACCAGTTGAGTCATGCTGGGACTCCGCAACTGTAGTCATTGGAGAAGCTGGTCTCCTGCTTTATGGTGCCGTCCAACCTTCCTGTTACTGCTATTAACAGTAATAGACAATAAATATAATTTCTCTCTTTCTTTTTTTGTTACAAAGATTTGTTTTCAGACATATTCAAATAACGTACTTACTGTTAAGTTCCTGGCAAAACTTTCTGATTTTCCAGAGTTCTCTGTAGCCACTTTTGTTCATCACTAGCCAGTTTGTAAATGTCAGAGAAGCCAGCAATTATTTTTGAAGCCTGATTGAACCGTTTACTAGCTATCCTATCTTCATAGTGGAGAGCTTCTGGTTTTATTTTTCCCGAGATTGTTGGCAACTTAGTAACCAGAGGTGAATCATGGAGGGGCTGCACAACCTTAGGCATTGGTGGAAGAGGTTTCCTGCTCTGCAGGTCCCCTGAAACCTGACTGAACCGTCTTACTACTCTTGCATCATTGTTGTAGAGAGCTTTTGTTTTTGCATCTCTGACAATTGCTGGCATCTTTGCCCCACCACTCGAGTCATTGCGGGACTCCACAACCTTAGGTATTGGTGGAGCTGGTCTCTTGCTCCTGAGGTCCCCAGCTTTCGTGTTGCTGCTACGACTGCACAGGTCTGAAATCTTTGGAAGGTTCATGCGCCCTGAGTCCTTGTTATCTTTTCCTCGGCTCTGCTGACATGCTTTGGTTGTATCAGCCGGCTTAACAGGTTTTTGTTTAAACTGATATTGAGGCCTGGGTCTGTGCACGGGTGGCAACATCCTCTCATAGAGAGCTATACGCTGTTTGATGCCGTTTTCTGGTTCTGTTGACGTTTCCGTGAAAAGGTGTTGAGCCAGCATGTGATTTAGGCTTTTGTATGTTAATAAAGACCCATATTGTTTCCATGTGTCTTGCCTTGGGAATAGCCGTACAAACCCCCCTTGCCTCTTTTCCTCCTCCCTGATGTCTTGAACAATTGCCATCCATTCGTCATATAGGGAGGGTTTAGTCTGTAATGCGGATGTCATGCAATAGCCGGCTTTAATATTTTTTTCCGTGGTTGCTGGACCTCCTTTCTTTTCAGGTTTGAGGTCTTTACACTCCAGGCCAACCAATGTAAGCATGTCTGCTATTAAATTTGCCTTTACTTTTAAACCAAGTGGAGAATAAGGATCCAGAGATGGTGATGAATTGACTTCCATCAGCCAAGGCTTCAGGTTTTCGTCAATTAGCACGTCAAAACCATACAGTTCAAAGCAGTTTTTTTTGCCAGCCAGAACTCCTGAACATTCTACAGTGATTGATCCTTCCACAGAAATTATTGTTTTAATAATTAGATCTTCAATTTCAGCCATGAGCGTTGTTGTATCTTTTCCTTTCTGTTTTAAATGACGCAGCATAGCGCTCATGGTCCATTGGCTACCATAGTTCTCCTTCTCAGGGTCATCGTTGGCCACAAAGCAAGGGCTGTCCTTGTTTATGCTATAGTTGGTTAAATGCATGAATTTGTTTTTCATGGCATGCTCTGCTGGTCTGTATTTTGAGGTAGCAAACCTGGCTAGTCCTTCTTCGTAGAAATAAATTATTAATGGGTCGTATGATGTGACTAGCACATACAGACGTAAGTCGAACTTGTACCCTTTAATAAGAAGCGGATTACTTATGTAGCGTGATACCAGGAGACGTTCTTTTGCGCTTATCTGTGATATGGCGTTTATAAGCCGAATTCCGTGCCCTTGACAAGATGCAACAGGCTTGACAATCCAAGGTCCTTGATCTTTGGCAATAACTTGAGAAAAGTCTTGGTATTCCTCGGGGAGCACATAGCTCTGAGGCAGAAAGTTGCATTGTTGTTCCCCATCTTTCCTCTGAAGCCTTTGAATATTTTTACAGAGAAAATCTTTGCGAGACAACTCAGAGGATCTGGGGAAGTGGTTTATCTTTTGTCCTTTTGAAAGGTTTGCATAACTAGGGTATTGTATGCCTGGTCCTGTCCACATCAATTGAAAATCACTACTGCTTGTTTTGGCCTCTTCAAATCCATGAGCAGATAGCATGTTGCGGACCAGGCGACTCCCATAACGGCTCATTTTATAGGTGAGTTTGTAACGTTTTCCTACCTCACGAAGGGGTGACACTCCAATTACAGCCTCTGCCATAAACTTCACAAGTGGTGTTTTGTTTGAACCTTCAGTCCACAGGATAGAGGGGATCTCATCTTTGTGCCCTTTCTCATGGCACTCTGAGACCTTCCCTCTTTTATTCAGTTGTCGAGCCATGATATATTTGGCAGGTTTCAATATCTGAGCAATATTAAATAATCAACTGACTGCTGCTGCTGTGTTAGCCTCCTACTCAGTCAAGTGCTAAACAGTGCAATGACTAAGTTGGGAAGCAGCAGGATTGTTGCATCGAAGGTGCATTGTGAGGTCGCGAACAGTGAAGGCTCATACAAAAATATTTGCCTACTTTTACCATTGAAATTTTACTTCAAATTCAATTATTTTGTTATCTTTTTCAGATTCTCCTAATCTCACTTTAATGATTTTTCTATGATATGTATCTTAATGTTTCCAGAAATTTCAAAACGTGTAGCGTATACACTCATACAACAATCACCTTGTCAATAGACTAATATTGTTTCAAAATGTAAATGATCAAATAATATTAGATAATGAAATGTCTACTCCTGGGCCCCTGTAGGCGTCAAATCCTGTATGTTAATAAATACCTGTGGAAAACATGCCGATGCCACTAGCTCCTGGAGGAGCCTGCTAGCTTGCCTCCTGCCCAGGAACTATGGGCTATATACAAAGACCCTGTTCTGGAGTTCAATCTCCCCAGACGCCATCAGCAGCTTCCGCTGGGTGCCCCTGGTTCGGCACTTTCCCTTCATTTGAATTGAACTGAACACGAGCTCCCTGTCGGCTGTTCACACAAGGAAACCCATGAATTGTCCTCAGAGGTACTTAGCCACAATTGTTATGCAACTAAATTCAGCATGAGGAATTTATGGGTTCCCGGTTACCTCAGAGGGACTTAGCGACAAATGTTATGGAACTGTTTTACAGCATGAGGTGAATGTGCGGCTCCCGAACAACTTGGTCCAGGGTTTTGAACGACTGCAACACGCCAGGAGAGCGTTTTTTGAAGGGAAGGTGCCAGAGACTAAGGGAAAGAAACACTACCCAAGACCCAGGCAGAGCACCCTGTATTGCAGCCGCAGGAGCTCCTAAAAGTTGACTGGCGAAAGCACCGAACGCCCTGGAACTGTTTTTGGCATAGGATCACGTGTGCGGCCGGTCAGAACTTGAGTGTGTATATTTATAATTTTTATAAAATAATGAAAGGCATTAAATGTCCAAATCGAAATACATTAGGTGCGCTGCTCAGGATTTTTGTAAAATGGTTCTGTCTCCGGAGGGATTCAGTTTTTTTTAAAGTGCTCAAAATTCTAACTAGCCATCCTAGAGTGAATTTTTAAATATTCAGCTCAGGCAAAATTGACCTTCAATGCTTGTGCTGACCATGGATAAAACGCAGGTCACCACTTTTAAGCTGAATTAATATTATCACTTTTAGAGTGGTAGAAGTCCCTGCTTTTGATTTAGATTTAGCATGCTGCTCATCCAACACATTTAACATTTAAAGGGTCGCTGTAGGCACTCTAACCATTTAATTTAATATATTTTTTATAGTGCTTGGAGTCCTCTGTCCTTGTTCCTCCAATCATTATTACACCATTTACAAGCAGTTTAACACTTTATGAGGGTCACTAGCCACCCACAGCCCAGCCCCACTGGAGGCTAAGCCAGGGATTACATACTCCCCACATACTAACGATTAGAGCTGTGGTAGACTGAAAGCAGTCTTGCTGACACTCAGCCAATTACAGGGACCCATTGCTGATAAACTAATGCTTCCTCATTAATCCAAGCAGCATAGTGTGGATGGGTTGCTAAGAATTCTCATTTAGTATTTAAACATTAAACAATGTTGATCACTGGTTGGAAGGAAGGTGTCAGGGGACCCCAAAAACTATAACCACTTCAAAGAGAGGGAGTTACAGTGCCTACATGTTAGGTTGGAACAATAAGGTTTTTTTGAAGAGAGGACTTTTAGCCTGGCGAATATATTAGGACTACAAATCTGAATTCCTGCCAGAGTGCAAAATGCTTGTGTTGGTGATTAGAAATGGAAGAAAATTATGTCTGTGGGTAGCTTTCTATAGACATAGGACAACTCTAAAAATGTCTTTGCAGGGAATAACACTCAGCGTTCTATGCAAATACAGTGGAACATAATTTCACTAGAGCATCAATTCTTAAATTAGCTCTTTCGGGGTCTTTGTATGAAACCCCAAAGACTAGGCTATGACGTAGGTGATGACGTAGGCTAGCAAACGCGCATGCTGGGAGGGGAGGAGATACGCTACCACGAGGGATATGAGAGGAGAGGTGGGAGACAAGAGTGTGTGAGCGGTGAGAAGGAAGGACAGACATTGAGAATTACACTTGACATAAAGTAGACCGGTTCTGTCAACTAGCAGGAAGGAAACGTGGGAAAGCCAGAAGTAGAGGAAAGAGGAGTTTGGACGCCAGATTGATTTATTGCAATGACTGTTGCAGAAGCCATTAGCAGTAATACTGCAATAAAGATTGGAGCTTCGGGGACTGGCGGCAAACGACCAGAAGATAAAGACACCTAATGAAGTAATTAATCTGAAACTTGGAAAACTTTGAGTCTTTGACACACTGATACTGTCAGAGTATTTATATCGGCAGACATTTTGTGCTATGATAGAAACTAAAAGTGTATATTCTGAGTCACTCTGAACAGACCAGACTCCATTTTGTTATTTCAAGTTAACAAAAAGACACTATATTTCTATCTGCAAGCTGGCCTCTTTGCCAGAGCTAAGGAATGCATAGTATAAACAAGTGATAAGGAAGGGGGTTGGACAGACTGTCTAATGCTAAAAGAATATAATCAAATCTAAACCCAGACAATTGTGACAGAGAAGATTAAATAATTTAATATTTAACTGTCTATATATATATAAGGTACCATTGTATGGAAAAGGGTAAACTTAGTTCATGATCTGTCATATCAGAAATTATGGCAGGAATTGCAGACGCTAAGTCTGGACAAAATTTAAGAAACCCTTTGAAATTTTAAATTATGGCGCTATAAAGATAACGCAAAATGACGTCAAAATAGCCACCAGGAAAAGTTAACTCTTCCCTGGATAGGTATGTTTAGTAGGACAAGACTGCCCTCTACAGACCAAATAACTAATTTGCGATCTGGAAGATAACCACACCTCTAGTGCTTCTATTGGGTTATCAACTGATGACGTACAGAGAGTCTGGCCCTTTAAAAGTTAAGACAAAGGGAAGATAGATACAGAGGAGGCAGATGCAAGAGATGCAAAGAAAAAGAGGAGAGAGGAATTGGAAGTTTGGGGACTCCAACCTCCATGCAGAGAGAGACATCCAAATAAGTTCCTGAGGCTACCAATCGGATGAAATATCTACTCAACTGGTAATTATACTGGTTTCATTTAATTAAATTAAATTAATTAAAATGTATTAATAGCATTATATATGACTGGATAAAGCACGGTCAGATTTCCATATTAAGAAATCTTAGTTAACTAAGAATATATAGTTATAACCATTCCATTCTGCAGGTGGAATTAAGAATAATTATATATTGATGTGATATTATCACATGTTAGCATACCGCTGTTTTTATCCAGGTGTATTGATTTGCTCTAAATTAAGATAGATATCTTTTAGACAAATTAAAAATCTGCTTATATAATATATTAAATTCTCTTATGGATGGTTTAAGAAAATGACTAATGAACTGGATTAAATGTTATTTTATTTAAAATACATAAGAATAGATCTTAACTACCTAGGAGATCTAGCCAGCATTGAAAGGGTTATTCTAACTGTCTGCTAAACTTTACGACCTTACGCTGCACTCTGAGGAATTCTGTTCTCTGTGTGAAAAGTTTCACTTTCAGCCTGTGTTAAAGATAGTCATAAATCGTAGAATTCTTGACAGATAATGCCGTTAAGCCATTGAAACGTAATACCCATTCCTTTGTATTGCATACCAATTTATACTGAATATTCATTGATTATTGTCATGCATGTTACATAATATTATTTGTTAATTATTGGTTATCATAAATAAAATCTATTTTTATACATTGTGATATTATTATATGAAATACATTCCACTTAACACGATAAACGTTCTTTGGGATCTGAGAATTGAAATAGTGGGCAATTCTCAACTGTTTACTATTATTATCCCATAAATATCCCCACATATTGGAGGCACGGTGCTGAGATCGTTTAAGTTGAAATTGTATTTCATATATAATAATAATATTGGTGTAATTCATGCAATTTAATCTTAATATAGAAAAGAGTTTTGTATTGAGATTAATCAATAAAATAAAAATAAAAATGGCCAGTGGCAGTGATAAATCTGTAACAGATAATACTGAAATAATTGAAGACCTAAGAAAACATGCTCTAGTTCATATTCATAAACATATGAAAAATGATGCAACCTATGAGGTTTGGTTGAAAAGCATAGAATGGGAAGCTAAACACACCATTCTAACTGATGAACACATCATCATATATCTTAAAGAAATTGCTGAACAAAAGAACATAGAAAGGAAAATGGCGTTCATAATACACTCTTGGCCTTTCTTTATGACAGCACTTCTTAAGGTGTGTGATGAAAACAAGTCATTGAATGCCAAATTGGACACGTACAGTGACGATTTGGGCATTCAAAATGGGAAATACCAAGATTTACTTGCTGAGCATAAAACTCGTCAGGCTGATCATGAAAAAGAAATGAAAGCTTTGATGGATAAATATGCACAGGAAATAAATCAGCTTAAAATGCAATTGGATGAGTATGAAAAGGAGAGTCAGAAATTAGACAGTGAGGTTAGTAGTCATCATTCTGTGCCAAAAAGTTGCACAAAAATGCAAGAAAGGACTATTTGTAAATCCCCTCCTTATTATAATTTTCCCACACCAAACCAGGTTTTCATAAAACAGTCTGTAAGAAAAGAGGTGAGTAATTCTGAGAAAACACCTGTAGGTTCTTGGCAATCTTGGGCAGAACAGTTTGAAAAGACTGTCCTGGCCAAGCTTGACAGAAAGAATCAGATTCAAGGTGATAGGAATGAAAACAGACATGGTTCTGTTCACTGGCAGAATTCTGATGCAGATCGGAATTG